TGCTGCTGCTGCTGCTGCTGCTGCTGTAGGGGCGTGCATTAGCGGGAGCAGGGAGGCGCAGCGGATTGTGGACTGGGTGACGGGCAGCATTCCCAAGAAGAAGCTGGAGAAACTCATGGCAAGCCAGACCCGCAAACCCTAAACCCTAAACCCTAAACCCTCGCCCTAACACGGGGCCCCAAACCTGCTGCTGCTCCTGCTGCTGCTGCTGCAGCTTTTCAAGGGACCGGGGGTGACGTGGCAGCAAAGCGAAGCTGATGACGCCGTGGGACTGAAGATCGGCAGCAGCCAATATGTCTATGAAGACGAGATCCAGGGGCCCAGGCCAGAGTGAGTTCCTGCTGCTGCAGCAGCAGCAGCAACTGCTGCTGCTGTGCTTGGCCTGCTAGTGTATTTGCAGCTTGCGCGCGACGCCGCCTCCACAGGCAGCTCACTGCCTGTTGCTGTTGTTGCACTTGGCGCACTAGACCCACCTGCTGCTGCTGCTGCTGCTGCCGCTGTTGTTGCACTTGGTGCACTAGACTGACCTGCTGCTGCTGCTGCTGCTGCTGCGGGTTTTGTTGCAGGGAGCGGTGCGAGTGGTTTGGCGCAGTGCGGTGCGGCTTCTGCGGAGAAGGGCAGCAGCTAGACCGGCTGTTTGTGGGGTGCATCTCGATCCCGCTGCCCCCCAGCAGCAGCAGCAGCAGCAGCAGCAGCAGCAGCAGGTGCCTGCGCGTGGCGGTGCACGAGGACTGCAGCTACCACTGCCAAGAAGTCCTCAGCAGCGCAGAAGGCAGCCAGTGGTATAACTTAACTCGCGGGCTGCTGCGGGCTGCATGCACTTTTTGCTGCTGGTGTGGCTGCCGCGGCGCCGGCCGTCTCTGCAGCAGCAGCAAATGTGCTGCAGCAACTCACCTCCCCTGCCACCTGCGCGCCACGCAGCAGCGACGCGACATGTGGGCCCCCGCTTGCGCTGCTGCTGCTGCTGCTGCTGCTGTGGCGGCTGCTGTGGCGGCTGCTTTGGACGCTTGTTGTGGAGAGGGTTGGGGTGCTACTGCTTGCCTGCTGCTGCTGAAATTGCTGCTGCGCTCCTGCTGCTGCTGCTGCTGCAGTCCCTTCTACTGCCCGGAGCACCTGTTGAAGAAGTGGCACGGCTACGCAGGAGGCCCAGGTCAGTCCCAAGCAGCAGCAGCAGCTGCTGCTGCTGCTGCGGCTGCTGCTGCGGCAGCCGCTGCTCCAGAGCCTAGGCGAGCGCTACACGCAACAGCACGCCAGCAGCAGCGCCGGCTGAAGCAGTCTAAGCAGCAGCAGCAGCAGCAGCAGGAAGAAGCAGCTTGCCTCGACTGTGCAGCAATTCGCACTGATGCTGCTCTTACTAAGGGGTTGCAGCAGACGAGCAAAGCAGCAGCTGCTGCAGCAGCAAATGCTGCAGCTGCAGCAGCAGCAGAAGACGGTGTAAGCTACAAGGATGAACTAGCAGCACTCGCCACAGGGATAGCTGCTGCAGCTGACGCTGCTGCAGCACTGTTAGGAGACGCTCCTGGTGCTGCTGCTGCAGCAGCAGCTGCTGCAGCTGATGATGCTGCGTCAGCGACGGGCATTCCCGGCAGCGAAGGCTGCAGCAGCGCAGGCTCTCTAGATGAGCAGCAGCAGCAGCAGCAGCAGCAGCTGCCGCTGCCAACAGAGAAGCAGCAAAAGACTGTGCGTCCGCTGCCTTATCAATTTCGCGTTGCTCCGCCGCCGCCGCCGCCGCAGCGGCAGCAGCAACAGCAGCACCGGCAGTACCTCATGCAGCAGCAACAGCAGCAGCTGCAGCAGCAGCAAAAGAATATGTTCAGTGAGCAGCTCAAGGCTTTCCTGAACGCCATAGGATACCATTCCACAGCAGCAGCAGAAGAGCCAAACCAGCAACAGCAGCAGCAGCAGCAGCAGGAAGAGCAGCAGCTGCTGCTGGATCAGCGGCAAAAGGAGCATCAACAGCTGCAGTTGCACTACCAGAAAGGGCAACAACAGCAGCAGCTGCAGCAGCAGCTGCAGCAGCTGCAGCACCAGCAGAAAGAGCAGCAGCTGCTGCAGCAGCAGCGCTACGTACAGTGAGTATTGGCCCCCGCCTTTCGCTGCTCTTTCCCTCAAAGTTCCGGTGTACATACACCCCAAACCATGAATTAAAACTAAGCAGCCTAAGTTGCTGCTGCACTCCCTTTTGCTGCTGCTGCTTTTTGCCCCTCTGTAGCATTTCCTTTTGTTGCTGCTGCTTTTTGTCCCTCTTTAGCCTTTTTACTGCAGACATTCGTCCCCGCATTTCGCGACAACTAAGCAGCAGCAGCAGCATTAGCAGTTGCAGCAGCAGCAGCAGCTGCTGCTGCTGCTGCAGCGGACCACAGTTAGCTTGAACTGCCTGCAGTTAGCTGCAGCTGCCTCCAGCTAGCTGCAGCTTTACGCAGCGCCGTATAGGTAGCCACTGAGAATACATGCAGCTAGCCAGAGCTAGCCACAGCTAGCTACTGGTAGCCACAGCTAGCTGCAGCTAGCCACAGCTAGCTACAGCTAGCTACAGCTAGCTACAGCTAGTCACAGCTAGCCACGGTGAGTAGGCCGCGCCCAAAGACATTCCGCGCAGCCTCCTTGGGAGGGGGCGTTCTCTAGTTGGCTACGTCTTTCCTGTGCAGCAGCAGCTGCTGCTGCAGCAACAGCAACAGCAGCAGCAGCTGCAGCTGTTGCTGCTGGACCCTCAGTGTCTGGCCGCTATTAGCAGCGTTTGCAGGCACATAAAGCTGCGGGATTTGCGAGGATTTGAAAATATAAATTGCAAAATAAAAATAATATTAAATTAAAAAAGCAATTCGTTTGAGTGGGTCAGTGTGCCGCTTGCTGTACGCATGCACTGCGGTGTACAGACACCGCAGCCCACTGGTGCCTGCATGCAGCGGGAAGCAGCAGCAAATGGAGGCTTTAAAGCAGCAGCAATAAGTGCACCTGAGGGGATTTATTTAATTAAATTAAAATTCAACAAACTGAGCTAAAATTTGATGGAAATAAGTCAAAAGAAGCTCCGGGGCTCCGGGCTTAGGGGGTGCGGTGGGGGCCAGCAGCGGCTGCGGTCCACTGCGGACCGGCGGCTGCGCGCGGCGGATTCTCAGAGCGAAGAATAAAGCATTACTGGGAGTTTTCGGTGAAGCAAACCAAAAACTAAATTAATTTGCAAATGAAATTTGTTTGAACGGCTTCAGGCTGGGTCGGCGACGGGGTGTACGTACAGCTGGTCTGCGTACGCGCGGAGGACCGGCGGGTGACCACAGCGCGGCGTCTGCGCCCCTCGGTGCGAAAAGAGTTGAAACCTGCAGATAAAAGCCCAAAAAACAACAACTCGTTGCGGAATAATTCGAAAAACCGGGAGAATCGGGGTCGTTTTGGGCGCTTTCCGGGAAAATGCTGTCGGTGCTGAAGAACGCGCTGGTCACCGGCGCCAGCAAGGAAGACGTGGCGATCCGCAAGAAAGAACTCGACTGGTTCGCAAGAAACTGTTGGATTATAACTTCGCAGTCGACAGTCATTGCGGGTTTTTCTTTTTCGCAGCTTTCCAAAGCCCCCGACAGCCCCAGCAGCAGCTTCGCCGCTGTGCTGCACCTCGCGCTCACCGGCGCCTCCTTTGCTGCTGCACTCACTGTCCTCGTCCGCGCCACCCTCACGGGCATTTACGCCCAGGGTAACTCCCCCTGCTGCTGCTGCTGCTGCTGCTGCAGCGTGGAAAACGCAGCTTCTGACGCTGCTGCTGCGGCTGCTGCATCGCTGCTGCTGCTGCTGCTGCTGCTGCTGCAGGTCTGGCGCTGCGGGGTCCCGCAGGTTTCAGCGACATGGCAGCAGCAGTGGACCGGCTGCGAGCAGCACAAGACAGGATCCTGCAGGTGTTTGCTGCTGCTTTGGTTTGCTTCGTCTTCTCCAGCTTCACTGTTGTCTTGGCAAATGAAAAGCAAAAAAAAACTTCTCTCAAACTCCAAACAGCCCTCGCTGTTGCTGCTATCGCCATGGCCCTCGTCGCCTGGCGCTCTCTCCGCCTCTTCTACCACAAACGGTGCCTAGGGTTTAGGGTTTAGGGTTTAGGGTTTAGGGTTTGGGGGTTGGGGTTTGTGGGCAGCGGCAGCGCTTTGGCCTTCTTCCTTGCTTCGTCCGATTGCTGCTAGTGCTGCGGGGGGTCTACACTTGCTGCTGCTGCTGCTGCTGCTGCTGCTGCTGCTGAGGGGGTTTCATTGGCTGCTGCTGCGCTGCTGCAGGGCGGCCGGGGGAGGCCTTCGAGGCATTGAGGGGATTTATGGCCGCCTGGGGGATTTGGACGCACTTGTGACTGCAGAGTAAAAAGCAAAGATAAAGTAAAAAATAAAAATAAAAATAAAAAATAAAAATAAACAGTCAAAAAGAAATAAATTAAAAAGAAGAAAGAGGAATAAAAAGCGGCGGTGGGGGGCTGCTGCTGCTGCCGCGCCTTCAATAAATAAACTGACAGATCCACAAGGCAAAAGCGAGGGTTTAGGGTTTAGGGTTTAGGGTTTAGGGTTTAGGCGAGGTGTACGCACACCTCGTGTCGGCTGCTTAGTCTAGTGGTATGATTCTCGCTTAGGGTGCGAGAGGTCCCGGGTTCAATTCCCGGAGCAGCCCCATGTCTTTTTGGTTTTAAAGTGTCATTTAAATTGTCAATTTGTTTTAAATTTGTTTTTCTTTTTATATATTCTTTTATTTTTTCTTTGTTTCGCATTTTTGCCCTTCATGTGAATCCATTTGGCGCCTGGCGCCGCCGCTGCAGCTCGCGGGGGTGGCGGCGGAGGCGCTGTCTTGCGTGCCTCTGCCGCGAGACATTTCTTTTTCGTTTTTGCCGATTTAGTTTTTAATTTTTAATTTTTCTTCAAATTAAAAAGAAATAAATTAAAAGATTAAACCATGTTGGGGGAAAAAGGGGCATTTGGGGCTGGCGGGCGGCGAGCAGCAGCAGCGGCGGGAGTGTGTGCTCGGGCTCCAGCAGCGCGGATGTCTTGGCCTTCTTTGCCGCTGCTCCCCGCCAAAAGCTGCAGCAAATCGAATTAAATTGAGAATCTAATTTAGTTTAATTTAATTTATTTCTTTTTTTCCAGTTAAACGTCCCCAGCCGCCCCACACACCAGCGAAAATGGCACTACCTGGAGCAAGACGCCTTCTTGGCCTCGGCTCAAGAGCTGCTGCTGGCGGCCTCCTGAGGGCCCCCCTGTCTTCTGTGGCAGTCCCGAGGGCCCTCTGTGTTCCTGCAGCAGCAGCAGCAAGTGGAGCTGCTGCAGCAGCAACAGCAGCAGCAACACCGAAGAGAAGCTTCGCCACCATACCGCAGCCGACTTGTCTCGTGGGCACCACCGCGCCAGACTTCACCCTTGACGCCTACATGCCCTCAGGTAAGACCAGCAGCAGCAGCAGCAGCAACAGCAGCAGTAGCAGCAGCAACAACAGCAGCAGCAGCAACAACAGTAGCAGCAGCGAGGCCCCGCAATCCCATAGCTCAGGGTTTACGCAGCTCCCCACGACCCCTGCGAAACCTCGTGTCTCCCGTGCCCCTGCTGCTGCTGCTGCTGCCGCTGCTGCTGCTGCTGCTGCGCAGGGAAGGTGGAGAAGCTGTGTCTGTCGGAGCTGCTGCAGCAGCACATCGGAGTTTGTTTGCTGTTTTACCCTCTGGACTTCACTTACGTTTGCCCCACAGAGCTGCTGGCCTACAACAGCAAAGTGCAGGAGTTCAAAGACCTCGGATGGGCCGTGAGTTCTGCTGCTGCTGCTTTGCTGCTGCCTCTGCTGCTGCCCTTGCTGCTGCCTTTGCTGCTGCCTTTGCTGCTGCCTTTGCCGCTGCTCTCTGTCTGGCTTTCGCCTTTGATCTCATTTGCTGCTGCCGCATATGTCCTTTGCTGCTGCCGCTGCTGCTGGCCTGCTGCTTCCCCTGCTGCTTCGCCTGCCGCTGCCCCTGCTGCTGCTGCCGCTGCATCTGCTGCTGCACCCCTGCCCCGCCGCCCCTGCTTCCCTTGCCCCTCCCGCTGCCCGCACCCGCCCGCGGCTGCTGCTGCTGCTGCTGCTGCTGCTGCTGCTGCTGCTGCAGCTGGTGGGGATATCGGTGGACAGCGTGCACAGCCACAAGGCCTGGTGCGAGCTGCCAGCAGCAGCAGGAGGCCTCGGGGGCCTCCAATTCCCCCTTGCTTCGGACTTCATGAGAGAAGTTGCTGCTGCTTACGGGCTGCTAAGTGCTGCTGGCTTCGCGCTGCGGGGCTGCGCGCTTGTGGGGCCCCACAGGCTGCTGCGGCTGCTGGCAGCAGCAGACACGCAGCTCGGCCGCAGCCCCCAGGAAACTCTCCGTGCTGCAGCAATGATTTCCCACTTGCATGCAGCAGCAAACCAAAACAAAGTCTGTCCAGCTTGCTGGCAGCAGGGGCAGCCCGCCATGGAGGCCACCAAGGAGGCGGTCGCCAAACACCTGCAGCAAATGAAGGCAGAGGCCAGCAGCAGCAGCAGCAGCAGCTGAGCAGCAGCCGCAGCTGCGCGGCCAAGACGCGCGCCGCCGCGTTGCTGTGGCGCCGGACCTCGCCCCGCTGCTGCTGGGCGCCTGCTGCAGCTCTTGCTGCCGCTGCAGCAGCAGCAGCAGCTGCTGCTGCTGCTGCTGCAGCGGCAGTACTAGTTCGTGCTGCTGCTTTTTCTGAATTGCGTGGAATCTAAAAACTCAATTTAAGAAAAGCAGCAGAGATGAAATGAACTGCCTGCTGGCCACCGCCCACGAGGCGACACAACCAATACAGTGCTGCTGCTGCTGCTGCTGCTGTTACTGCTGCTGGTGCTGCTGCTCTTGCTGCTGCTGCTGCTGCGGGCTACTACTTCTTCTGCTGTTGTCTGCATTCCTCTGTAGCAAAGAGTTGAGAGGGTCCTGGCGCCCCCGGGGGCCTCACAGCGAAGCTCGCGGGATATCTCGGGGCCCCCAAGGGGGCCCCCAGGGGCCTTTAGGGGCCCCTAGGGGAACTCAGGGGCCCCTAGGGGCCCCAGGGGGCCCTAAAGGCCCTTAGGGGCTTCGAGGGGCCCCCAGGGACCTCCGGGGGGCCCCGGGGGACCCCCGTGGGTCTGGGGCTTTGTGAGGCCCCACAGGGGCCCACAGGAGGGTCTCAGGGGGCCCCAGGGGACCCTAGCAGCAGAGCAGCAGCGGAGCAGCAGCAAAGGATCAAATGTAGCTTAGGGTGGTGTACGTACACTGGATCGCTTTGCAGGGAGTCACAACAGGATAAGAGTCCTTTATATTCCTTTCTATTTATTTAGAATTATTTATTTTTAGTCACTCCATTTTTATATTTATTTATTTAAAATTATTATTTTGCATTTATTGCCATTTAAGACATGCGGCCGTTTGCCTCAGGGGCCCCACTGCTAGAGGGGAAGGAGCCGCAGCAACTGCAGCAGCAACTGCAGCAACAATTGCAGCAGCAACTGCAGCAGCCACAGCAGCAGCTGCAGCACCAACTGCAGCAGCTACAGTAGCAGCAGCAGCGTCAACTGCAGCAGGTGCTGCAGCGTCGACTGCAGCAGCAACTGCAGCAGGCTGTCTTCAAAGATGTGAATAAAGACATCTTAAGATGCAAAATTCAGAAGTGCAGAAGCAAATGCATCTTCTGTGAACATGTGGGGCTGCTGCAGCTCCGGAAACAGAAATTTAAAAACAAATGCAGCAGCAGATCCAAAAGAGAAAAGTCTGCTGCAGCAGCAGCACGCAGAAGACCTGCAGCTGCTGCAGCAGCTGCAGCGGAAACAGCTGCAGCAGCGCACAGGTGAAAGAATCATCTTGTGTGAGCAAAAGAAAGGAACTGAAGAGAGAACTAGAGGAAATAAACTTAAACTAAAACTGAACTAAAATAAAAGTAATAAATAAAAGGAATCCGTCGAATCTATCTGCAAGCGAGCTGCAGCTGTCTGGCTAAAGTGTCTGGACAGAGGCAGCAACAGCAACAGCAGGAGCGGCAGAACAGCAGCGCGAAGTGCAGCAGCAAATAAGCGAAAACGCTAAACAAAGCAAATACAAGAACTAAACAAAGGAGGTCTTTAGAGAGGCACTCAACGAGAAGCAAGTTTACAAAGAGTTGCGGTCTGTCTGGGCCGTAGCACTGCTGCTGCTGCTGCAGCAGCTGCTCCTGCTGCTCTGTACCTCTTCTGGTGCTGCCGCTGCTCTCTGTGTCTCTGCGGCTGCTGCTGCTGCTCCTCTCTTTTGCCGCTGCATTTTTTGTTCCGCCGCCGCTGCTGCTGCTGCTGCTGCTGCTGCTGCAGCAACAAACTAGGCCCCCGGCCCCACAAGAATGTTGTTGATGGGAATGAAAACCAGCTTGACAACGTAGCCAATAAAGCCCATCAGCAAAAAGCCAACAGCGCAGGCCCAGGCGATCTTTTTGAACTCGCGGGCGTCAGGTTTTGTGCATCTGAAAAGAAATAAAAAGAATTAAAATGAATTAAAATGAATTAAATTATCGCATTTTCACAAATTAAACACTTATTTAATTGTTAATTCTAATTGGGGGTCTTATTTGATCAAAGAATGGGAGAAAAAGAACGAAAAATGATCGAAAAATTAAAAAATTAAAAAAAATTAAAGTTTGAATTAAAAAAGTTCAAATGAAAAAACATGGATTGGGAAGGTGGCAAGCAGAGATGAAGAGAAAAACGAAAATAATAAAAATAAAAAATAAAGTAATTTAATTAATTCAAATTAATTTAATTTAAATTAATTTGATTAATTTAAATTAATTTAAATTAATTAAATTAATTTAAACCAATCAAATTAAATAAATGAATTAAAAGCAATAATCATGAATAGATGGAGTAATAATTTGGGAGCGATGGAATGAAGAAAGTAATTTGGGACTGAAAAAGAAATGAAAAAAGAATTTAAATATTAAAAAGAATTAAAAAGAAATAAAAAATAATTTAAAAGTAAAAGTGTTTAGAAATAAAAAGAACTTCAAATGGAGCAGCAAAAGACTTCCTCTGAATGACACTCTTTTGAAGAAAAGACAAAAGAGAAAAAAAGATAAACATGAAAAATAGAATTTTAAAAAGTTTTGAAGATAAAAAGCGGAAATAAAGAAATGAAATAAAAACAGAAGAGGAAATTGAAAAGAAACAAAGGGGAGGTAAAAGGAAACAAAGAGAAAACGGAAAAAATGTAAAAGAAAAAAAAGATACGGAAAGGAAACTAAAAAAGGAAATAAAACGGAAATTAAAAAGGAAATCAAAAAAGAAATAAGAGAACAAAAAATGAAATGAAAGAAAAAACAGAATCCAAAAGGTAAAAAAACACTTCAAATAAAAGCTAGCGAACTAGCGAAGCAACTAATGAACGATTTAACAATTAGATTAACTAATTAATTATTTTTTTTGATTATTTATTTTAATTAATTAATTTAAATAATTTGACTGAATTAACAAATTAAAAAACTATTTAATTATTATTTAATCGAATTATTTATTTTAACTCTAAAACGCAAAACAAGCCAGCGGGGAAAGTAAGAAGCGCGGGACCCGCTGGGGAGCGCGGGAGTCGAAAGTGGTCGAAAATAGGTCGAAAAAAAGGCGAAAAGGGGCAGGAAAAGAGCGGAAAAGAAGAAAAAAAAGAACGAAATGAATTAAATAAATTAAATTGGATTAAATTGGAAGAAAAAGGAGCAAAAAAAGAAGCAAAAACGCGAAAAAAATTAGAAAATACCTCCGAACGAGGCGCACAGAATCCGCACCGAAGTCCGCCAGCTCCGTCACCCAGAAACCCAGCGGGTGCGAACGGTCCAGCAGGAAGCTGGGAACTTTGTTTAATTGGACCATTTTCTGCAAAAAACGAATAAATTAGTCCAAATTAATTCGAAATAAATCAAGATAAACCACAATTCAACACTTTTCACCCTTTATTCGTAAACAGCGCCAAAAACCGCCTCGAAACACCCCCTGACGGCCGCTGCAGCAGCTGCAGCAGCTGCAGCAGCTGCAGCAGCAGCAGCAAGCAGCAGCAACACGCGGCAAACGCAGACGCCGCAGCAGCGCAGCATCAAAAGGGATAAATGGCAGCAGCACGAAGAGGCCGAAAGGACACAAATGAGAAAAAAGAAGAAGCAAAAGAGAAGCAAAAGAGGCACAGAGAAAGTCTTCCTTCGCCAGATCTGCCAAGAAGTGCACTCTAGATCAGCAGCAGCAGCAGAAGCAGCAGCAGCAGATGCAGCAGTAGCTAGGGGAAAGAGAACAGCATGGAGAGCAGCTAAGGCGGCATCAGAGCCCACACCACACAAACATGCTGCTTGTAATGCTGCTGCAGCAGCAACTGCTGCTGCTGTTGTTGCTGCTGCTGCCTCGGAGCCAGAGACATTACATGAGAGCTGCAGCAAACCCTAACAAAGATGCCGCAGCAGGCACCAGCAGCAGGAGACGGCCGCTGCTGCTGGAGCCAACCAGCCAGCGTGGTGCTGCTGCTGCTGCCGCTGCTGCTGCCTAGCACACTCCACTGCTGCTACTGTCGGGGACTGCGAGGCAATTCAGGGCCGTATCGGTATGCAGAAGCAGCAAACAGTAGCAGCAGCAGCAGCAGCAACAGCGCGGGAGCGGCGGGGAGGCGAGCAGCAGGTGGGAGACGTGCAGCAGCACTGTTCTTCTACAGAGACAATGGCGCAACGGAAGCAAGGACAGCAGCAGCAGCAGCAGCAACCCTCTTCGCTGCTGTTGCTGCTGCTGCTGCCGCCGCGTGGTAGGCAAAGGCCGGCGCTTACATGGAGCGTGTCTGCTGCAGCAGCGCAGCAGCCGGAGGCGTCTCGCAGGGGAACGAAGCTATCTTGAGCGGCAGCAGAAAAAAGAAATTGCAATTAATTTAGTTTTGAAGAACAGAAGCAATGCTGCTGCTGCTGCCGCTGCTGCTGCTGCAGCGCGGATGAACAGCAGGGCTGCAGAGCAGCCGCCGCCGCAGCCGCAACAGCAGCAGCAGCAGCAGCAAATGCAGCAACAGCTGAGCGGCCTGGCCGCACGGAGCCCCGGCAGCAGCTAAGAGCACTATAAAAGCATTATAAATTAAATAAATAATAAATTGAAGGAGACTTAGGGCTAATGTATCCCGGGTTTGTAACAGCAACAGCAGTAGCAGCGGCAGCAGCAGCAGCAGCAGCAGCAGCGCTGCTGCCGCCTCCTCGCTGGCTGCTCCCAGCTCCGTGGAAGACGTGAGAAGCAGCAGCAGCTACCTTAGGTGTCTCTTGAGCTGTTTGTTGCTGCGCCCTTCAGTCAAGCCATAATCGCCCTGCAGCAGCTGCGGCATCCGTCTTGGTGCTGCTGCTGCTGCGGTCGAGCCGCAGCAGCCTGGCAACAGCAGCTGCTGCAGCAACAGCTGCACGGAATTTCGATCTCCAGCGGAGGCGGCTTACCTTCAGCAGCCGACCGACCAGCCACCGAGCTCACCTGTTGCTGCTGCTGCCGCCTTCGCCGCTGCTGCTGCTGCTGCCGCTGCTCTAGCTGCGGCAGCGCCGCACACGCGCGCAACCCGTGGGACAGCTTCCCCCAGCGCTGCAGCAGAAGCAGCAGCAGCAGCTGCAGCAGCAGCTGCAGCAGCACCAGCAGCAGTACTTGCAGCGGCGCCATGGCCTTCACAGGGAAGGGCAGGGGCCTTGGCGGCCCCCCCGTGCTGGCTAGCAGCAGCAGCAGCAGCAGCCGCAGCAGCAGCAGCCGCAGCAGCAGCAGCCGCAACAGAAGCAAGTTGGCAGGCGGCGTGGGCGAAGCCTTGCTGCAGGGGATTGTCTCTGATGATTTGTTTTTAAATCTTCTTTCCTGTGGAGCTGCTGAGGAAGGTAAAGGCTGGGCAAATGCATGCAGCAAATGCATGCAGTATCTCTGCTGCTGCTGCTGCTGCTGTTGCTGTTGCTGCTGCTGCACTGTTTTCTGCGACTCCTGCTCACGTTTTTGTACTGCTACTGCTGCGCTTTCCCGCGCTGCTGTTGCTGTTGCCTGCACCTGCAGTTGAGCTCGCCAGTGCTGCTGCTGCTGCTGAACCTAGCAGCAAATGAATAGCTGCTGCTGCTGCTGCTGCTGGATGCAGAAGAGGACTGCTCCCTGTCTCCATCGCCCTCGCTGCACTCTTTCACGGGCGACGAGCTGGCGCTGCTGCAGCACGACCTCGACGTCCTCACTGCAGCGCAGCAGCAGCAGCAGCAACAGCAGCAGCAGCAGCAGCAGCAAGGCTTCCTCGGGCCTGCTGCAGCAGACTGCGAAGAGGCCCTCGACGTCAGCCGCGTGCGGCGACTGGTGGAGGACTACTGCGTGCGGTTCAGCTGTCTGTACACCCCAGGTGCAGCAGCAGCAGCAGCAGCAGCAGCAGCACAGCAGCAGTAGCAAGGGCAGAGCAGCGGCAGCGGCACAGCACTAGCCCCATAGCACTAGCAGCAGCAGTAGCGCAGCGGCAGCGGCGCAGCAGCAGCAGCAGCAGCGCAGCATCAGCAAAAGCTTTCTTGCCCATTTACTTGTGCTGCTTGTCGCTGCTTGCTGCTGCTGCTTCTCTGTGTAGGCCTGGCGCTGATTGCTGCTGCAGTCAGCTGCCTTGCGGTGTTTAGAGGAGCAGCAGCAAAAAGGCGCTGCGAGCTGCTGCATGCTGCTGCGCTGCAGTTGGCGTCTCCTGCGCCGCTGCTGCTGCTGCGGACCAAGACAGAAGACCTGCCGCACAGCAGCAGCAGCAGCAGCAGCAACGGCGTCGAAGTAGATGCTGCTTCTGCCTTCGAGCAGCAGCAGCAGCAGCAGCAGCAGCAGCAGCAAGACCCGCTCGAATACCCTCCGGTGTCTCGTGCTTTTGCTGCTGCGGTGTACAGGCAGCGCTTGCAGCAAGAACAGCAGCAACTGAAGGGACAGCAGCAGCAGCAGCAGGAGCAGCAGGAGCAGCAAGAGCAGCAGGACCAGCATTTAGCAAATGGGCAGCAAGCAGCAGCCCCCGGCGCAGCACCAGCAGCAGCCCCGGCAGCAGCACCAGCAGCAGCCCCGGGTGCGGCTCCAGCAGCAGCGGCAGCAACATCAGCAGCAGCTGGGTCCTCCCGGCGTACTTCTTGCAGCAGCAAAAGCGACGAACTAGAAGACGTGCTGCTGGATGATGACCCTCTTCCAGCAGCAGCAGCAGCACCAGCAGCAGCAGCAGCACACCCCTTGGGCAGCAGCGGTGGCTCGTGCTTCTCGTCTATTGTGGCTGCTTTGCGGTCAGATGAGCAGCAGCTGCAGCAGCTAGAGCAGCAGCGGCAGCAGCAGCGGGCGGAGATGGAGCTGCAGCTGTGGAGTTTGCTGCAGTACCATTACCCGGCGTTGGCGGGGCAGCTGCAGCAGCAGCTGCAGCAGCAGCAGCAGCAACAGGGTCTCTCGCTGCTCTCGCTGGCAGCACACTGGCTGGGCACGGGCTTTGCTGCACGCTGCTTTTTCACGAAGGCCCCCACAGAGACAGCAGCAGCAGCAGCCGCTGCTGCTGCTGCTGCTGCTGAAGAAGAAACTCTGGAAGAGAAGCTGCAGTGTCTCGACACCTTATGGCGCCACCTCGCCCTCATCAAAGAGCCCCACGCGTACGTACACCCCAGACCCCCCAAACCCTAAACCCTAAACCCTAAACTCTAAACCCTCAGGGCCTCGTCCGGATCTCGTGGAAGACTTAGCTGCAGAGGGCAAGGAGCTCTTGGCCTACTGCTGCTGCTGCTGCTGCTGCTGCGGTGCAGGGGGCTCATGCTGGCGGTGGCTCTCATCATTGCTAACGGACCTTCGCTGCGCTGCTGCTCTTCTGCTGCTGAGCTGCTGTCGTTTCTGCATTTTGGCGCAAAGCTTCGCTTCCCTGCTGCTGCTGCTGCTGCTGCTGCTGAAAGTGCAGGTGCCACTGCCGCAGCAACAGCAGCACAGAGGCCTGTGGCCGCTGCAGCGGCTGCTGCTGACTTCGCTGCAGCCGAAAAGGCTGCTGCAGACGCAGCAGCAGCAGCAGCAAAGACACCCCAGCGGGGAGCAGCAGCAGCAAGAGCCTGGTGGCAGCAGGCGGCGCTTTTAGGTGTACGTACACCTGACTGCCTTCTCAACTTCAGCCTTCAGTCTTCTAGAGGCCCCAGAGAAAGTAAGAGCATTTGCTGCTGCAGTTGCTGCAGTTGCTGCTGGCGCTGCTGCTGCACCCGCAGGCTGTGCGTGCTGTGCTGCAGCGTCGTTTGCGCTGCTGCTGCTGTTGCTGCTGCTGCTGCTGCTGCCTAGGCTTGTACTGCGGTGTCCAAGCAGATTCACTTCCAGCGATTTTCTACCACAGCACTGCCTTTCGATGCCACTGCATCTCCCGTCGGCGCCGCTGCTGTTATTGTTGTTGCTGCTGCTGCTGCTGCTGCTGCAGGCTCGCCGTCGCCGCTGATTGATGGGGCCTCGCTTTGCCGCTTTCTGGTGCTGCGCGCGA